ATATTACTAAAATAATATAATTATTACATACTAGTAATATATATAGTATTATTAGTATTATATATATATATATATATATATATGTATGTATATATATAATATATATATATAGTAATATAGTATATAAAATATTATATATATTTATATAATAGTATATATGTTGAGGGTAAAATAATACTTGTAGAATATGATATTATATATAATTATACTATGAGTACACTATATTATGTATAATATATATGTATATATATAAGGTAATATACTATATATTAATATATATATATATATTATACATATTAATATATATATCTATATATTATATAATATAATATACATATATATGAGATATATAGTATTTAATATATATATTCTACTACTATAGATATAATATGATATATATTATAGTACAATATACGTATGATTATAGTATAATACTAGTATATAGAATATAATTATATATATGCTTTATATATCTATATAACTATATAAACATATATACTATAATATATTACTATTAGGTTATAAATAGATATAGAGAATAAATTGTATATTAGTATTATTATATTATATAAGTAATATATAATATATATATACTATATATATAGAGAGATATATAATATATAATAATATAATCATGTTGCGCTCACACTATCTGGGTTATTACTCGAAGAAGAGCAGTAGACAAAGAAAATAGAAGCCAGATAAAGGAGGGCAAGAATTGCAAGGAGCTGCAAGGCCTGATATGGCAGCGGACAACCGACCAGGCTACAAAGCGGACAGATCTCTGGGGGGAGAGATGAGAGATGAGAAGAGAGTATAGAGAGGAGGAGAGAGAGAGAGAGAGAGAGAGAGAGAGAAGAGATGAGAAGAGAGGAGAGAGGAGAGGAGAGAGAGAGAGAGAGAGACAGAGAGAGAGAGAGAGAGAGAGAGAGAAGTATGTTTGCATTGATTGATAGCGAAGAATTTTTTTTCTTTTTTCTTTTTTGATGTTGACAGGTTTTGATGGTTCTGGTTCTTAGGCCAAAAGATTTTTTTTCATATTTTTTTTTAATATTGAAGTTTTTATGAATTCTGGTTATTAGGCTTTTGTTTTTCTTTTAATATTGAAGGTTTAATGGAGTTCTTTTAGTGTAGGAAAGATTTTTTTTTTTTTACTATTGAAGTTTTGATGATCTGGTTTATTAGGCCAACATTTTTTAATTTTTTATCTTATTTCTAATATTGAGGCATTTTTGATGATTCTGGTTATTAGACAAAATTGCGTTTTTCTTCTTTTTAATGTTGAAGGGTTTTAGATGATTCTGGATTATTAGATGCCATAAAAATTTTTTTTCTAACTTTTTTATGTTTGAAAGGTGGTTTTATGAGTATTGGTGAATTTTGTGTTTTTTTTAAGCGTTTTTATCTCTTATCTCTTGTCCTGTTTCTGTTTGTTTTAGCTTTGTATGTAATCTGTGTAGTTTGGTTTGTCTGCGATGTTGTTTGTTTTTTTAATCTGTGCAATGCTATTTTTGTTTTGTCCAGTCTGTATGTCTGTCAGTTTACCTATTCTTTTATCTTATTTTCATCGGTCTACAACACACACAAACACAGAACAAGAGACACACACATGACATCTACACACACACACACACACACAGTTAGCTCGGACCCACACACACGACACACCATCACCACACAACACACACATCACACAGAATATGGTATCACGTCATACACATTCACACACAGAGCACATATACCACCACACCTCTGCATCCACTAATCTCCCCTCCACCCCCTACCAACAACCACTGAGCCCAACCCTCCACTACCCCCAGCCAAACGCCCACCCAAGTGTACACGCCAATTACCGAGAGAATAGGTGAAGCGAGACGCAGTCTCCAACGAGCCTACTAGGCTCGATCACCAATTGGAATTCTTGCTGCATTATCGTTCTCATTTCTGTTCACATCACAAAGAAAGAAAGAGAGAGGGGGATGAGAGAACACGACAGACAGAGTATATAGAGGAGATCATACTATATAGTATATAACTATAATATATATGCTATATAATATATAATATATATAGGAGAGAGGATATGGGAGAGTGAGAGATATATATATGTATTAGTATATATATATAATATAGTGTGTAGTTAGTGATATATACTCATTTTGAATTGTACTATTCGTGTATCAGTATATATTGCCTTGAGGTTTTTATGTTTGTATGTATGTTATATATATCGTATATAAGTGTTTATCCGGTGAGAGGTACTTGGTTCTGATTATGGTATAGTAGTATGATATGTGTTCGCTGTTGTAGTAAGTATTGCAGAATATAACATATCTAGTATTTATTGTGTAGGTTTATTTGTGAGTTATTAATTATATTTTCAGGTTCATTATTATTATTATTAGGTAGTAGTAGTAGTTAGCTTATACTTGTAGGTCATAATGTTAATTTTATAATTATCATTAATATATATTATTTATATGCCCATAATTACATTTTATTATCATATTTATTAATACATTAATTAACTATCATCGTCACTACTAATATATATGATAACTCAATTACACCTATAACTAAGCTTTCTGTACAACCCCTCAACTGAATATTTTACGTCATTTCTTTTTTTTCCGTTTTTTATTTTGTCTTTTATCTCTCTGTTTCCCATACTTTCTCCTCCATCCTTCTTTTCAGTTTTCTCGCCTCCACCTTCTATCCACTCCTCACTCCCTATCCTCCCACTCAATCCCTATACCTCATATATTCTTCCCTGCCACTTTCTCCTCCCTCCTTTTTCACCTCACGCTCCCTTTCTCCCTCATACCCGTCCCTTCTCATACTTACCTTCTGGCCTCACATTCCTGTCCCTCCCTCACTTCCCTCCTTTCCTCTGCTTCTTCTGGGTCTGTACCCTCCCTCCATCCCCTCCCTTCCGCTCCCTGCCTTTCCTCCCTCTCTCCTTCCCTCCTCTCTTCCCTTCCACTACCAGTCCTTCCTTCCCCTTCCTTCCTCCTTCCCTTTACTCTTGCTTCTCCTTTCTCCACAATGTCTCTCCAAAACTCTGTATGTTACATGATGGCTTTAATGTAAAGTTTTAACTCCTCTGGTCTTATATATCTAGATTTTTAGCTTGGCAGATTGATTAGAGACATTTTGCTGACACTTCACGACACTCTACCCAGACGGCTGAAGCCATTTACCACCCATGAAACACCACGACTAGCCCAGACCATCACGAAGAACTTCATCGCCTCCCCCCTCCACCAACCATCCCTGGCACCACTTTTCTTCCACCAACACACCACCTAGAGTATCCTATCTCCCGCGCCCGGCACTCTATCCTCATCAGCTACCACCGACCACTTTTGCTCTTTACCACGGCTTACATCGCCGGCTAATGCATGACACAGGCCCACACCTCATTCCCACCAAGCGCCTATTCTCACCGGTCCTGCACCAGCCCCCATTGCTCACCCCCATCACCCCCCCACCTAGCTCTATCATTTAAGTCACCCCTCCTCACGCGCCTTGCTCATCATCCCATCCCCCGGTCCAGTCGAGTAACTATCGCCATGAACTCACCCCACCACGCCCCTATCTCACCCCCCCCTCTACCTTCTCTCCCCCCCCGCGCAGTCGAGAACATCGCCTTCCGGGCCGCACCTGGGTGAACGACAAGCGGCACCAGTGGTCGGGCTGGGACTACGGGCCCTCCACGCTGGCCGTCGACGGGAACCTCGACGCCAGCCTCCGGTCCTGCTCCATCATCGACAACTACTACGTGGACGAGCCGGTGTGGATGGTGGATCTGGGCAAGAGGAAGGCCATCCGCGGGCTCGTCATCCTCACGTGGCAGGAGGGGCGCGGTCAAGGTGAGTGAGCGGGGGTGGGGGTTGGGGGTTGGGGAGGGGTGGGGTGGGGAGGGAGAGAGGGAGGTGGGGGAAGGGAGGGAAGGGGTAGGGGGAGAGGGAGGGAAGGGGAGGGAGAGGGAGGGGAGGGGAGGAAGGGGAAGGAAGAATAATAATATAATAAAATTCATCCCCCCCTCCCCCCCAAAAAAAAAAAAACAGACAAAAAAATATATAAAATAATAATAATAAAATAAAAATAAAAAAAATTTTAAAAAAGTCCCTAACCCCCCCCCCCTTCTCCGCCCGTCCAGACCAGCAGACGCTCTACCGCGACTACGTGTTCGGCCTCGACCGCCTGACCGTGTACGTGGAGAACCAGGCCAGGATCGACTCGCCCAACTCGCAGGACCACAAGAAGTGCGCCTCCGTCACCAGACTCAACAACGCCCTCTTCAGGTGGGTGGTCGCCGCTCGTTATGCAGTTTGATTGGTCTTTTTTTCTTTTTTTTTCGGTTTTATTCGGTTTTATTCGGGTTTAAGGTGTCACGCTTGCACTTTTTTCGTCATTTTTGGGCGTTTCTCTCTTTTTCTTTTTTTCGGTTTTATTTGGGTTTGAGGTGTTGTCACGCTGGCAGTTTTTTCGTCATTTTTGGGCAATTTTATTTAGCGTAAATACAATTTTTTCTTTTTCTTTTTTTCGGTTTTATTCGGGTTTTAAGGTGTTGTCACGCTAGCAGTTTTTTTCCGTCATTTTTGGGCAATTTTATTTAACGTAAATAAATTTTTTCTTTTTCTTTTTTTCGGTTTTATTCGGGTTTAAGGTGTTGTCACGCTAGCAGTTTTTTTTTCGTTATTTTTGGGCAATTTTATTTAACGTAAATACAATTTTTTCTTTTTTTTTTGGTTTTATTCGGGTTTTAAGGTGTCACGCTAGCACTTTTTCCGTCATTTTTGGGGCAATTTTATTTAACGTAAATACAAATATTCTCGAATATTGCTCTTGATTTGATTATGTTTGGCTGAAAAAAAGTTGACGGAGAGGTTTTCAGACGGAAACGGTCGTTATCGTCAGACTGGAAAATCGACAATTCGCTCAAAAATGGACAAAATTTAAGAAAATTGGAAATAAAAATGACGGAAGAAGTGCGAGTGTGACAGCACCTTAATTATCGTTATGGTTTACTGGTATGTTAAGATAACGTTATGTATTTTGTATACATACACTTACACCCTGACGAACGCACGCAAAATGCAAGTGTTCAGCCGTAACACACACACCCACACGTTTATACTGATACTCATATTCACTTCATACTTATACTTATACTCACACTCACATTCACTTTCGCATTGTTCACATTTCACACACACACACACACAACACACACACACACACACACACACACACACACACACACACACACACACACACACCCACACACACACACATCCCCACCATCACACTCCACCCCATCACCCTTCTCTACCCCCCCCCCCTCTTCCCCCCTCCACCCACTCCACCCCTCCACCCACCCCTCCACCCCACACCCCCACACACACATTACACCCACCTAACCTACCCCTCTCTCTCTCCCCCACCACAGAGAGCGCGTCCACATGGAGTGTCCGCAGCCGATGAAAGGTCGCTATATTTTTACATCCAAGGGCTGGGGCGTGGCTAACCGCTGGCATAGAGTCTTCTCCCTCGTCTTGTGCGAGGTCATGGTCTACTGAGAGAGAGAAGGAGAGAGAGAGAGAGAAGAGAAAGAAGAGGAAGAAGAAGAAGGATGATGATGATGAGGCTACTTGAAGAGAGAGAAGAGGAAGGAAGAAGGATGATGATGATGAGGCTACTTGAAGAGAGAGAAGAGGAAGGAAGAAGGATGATGATGATGAGTCTGAAGAAAGAGAATAGGAAGATAAAAGAATGATGATGAGGCTACTTGAAGAGAGAGAATAGGAAAAAAGGATGACAATGATGAGAATACTTGAAGAGAAAGAATAGGAAAAAAAGGATGATAGTGAGGGCTATGGGAAGAGAGAATAGGGAAGAAAAAGAATGATGATGATGAGGAGAATACTTGAAGAGAGAGAATAGGAAGAAAAAGAATTATGATAATTAGTCTGCTGAAGAAAGAGAATGATAAAAAAGGATGATAATGAGGCTAGGGAAGAGAGAGAATAGAAAGGTAAAGGATAATGATAATGAGATTACTGAAGAGAGAATAAGAAGAAATAGGATAATGAAGATGAGCCAACTTGAAGAGAAAGAATAATAAGAAAGAGAATGATGATAATAAACCTACTGAAAGATAAGAGAAAGTTAAGTATGAGATAAAGGTGTGTTACGAAAAGGGAATAGAAAGAGAAATGATAGTAATTCTACTGAAAGATAAGAGAGAGAGAAAAAATAGTGTGACGAAGAGTGTTAAGAGTGATAAGTCTCTACTGAGAGAAGTTGAAAAGAAGTCTCCTGAAAAGAGAAAAAAATGAGAGAAAGAGAAAAAGATCTATTAAGAGAAAGAGAGAAAAGTCTGTTGAGAGAAAGAGTAAAAAAAATTATTGAGAGAGAGAGAAAAAAAACTCTATTGAGGGAAAGAGAAAACATTAAAAGGAGAAAGGGTAAGGAATCTACTGAAAGATAAAAAAAAGTTAAATATGAGAGTTCAATTAAATATGAGAAAGTCTACAGAGAGAAATGAAAAAAAGATTACTCTAACAAGCGAAGAGAAAGTGTTGAAAAGAGAAAAATAAAGAAAAATTTAAAGAGTTTACTGAAAAAAGAGAAGTTTACAGAGAGGAAAGTAGATTAATCTACTGAGAGAAAGAGATTAGTTAAGCGAGTACGTGAGAGAAGTTAGGGAAAGAAAAAAAGAGAAGTTTAGTGAAAGAAAAAGAAAAAAGAGAGACAGAAAAAGAACACACACACACAAAAAAAAGAAATAGAGCAAGAAAGATAAAAAGGAGAGATAGCGAATAAGAAGAAAGGGAGAGAAAGAAAAAGAAAAAAAGGAAAGAAAGAAAAGGAAATATAAGGAGAGAAAAAAAGTAAAAGGAGAGAAAGAAGGAAAAAAGGAGAATGAAGAAAAGGGAAAGAAAAAAAGGAGAAAGAAAAGAAAAAATAGAGAAAGAAAAAGAATAAAGTGAGAGACTAAAGAGTGAGTAGAGAGAAGTGAGGGTGAGGGGAGGAGGCCATGGGGTGCTGGGGGGGGGGGGGGATTAGTGGAAGTGGATAGATAAATGGACGAGCTATGATTACGGTCTCTCTCTCTCCCTCCCTCCTCCCTCTCTCTCTTCTCTCTCTCTCTCTCTCTCTCTCTCTCTCTCTCTCTCTCTCTCTCTCTCTCTCTCTCTCTCTCTCTCTCTCTCTTCTGCTTCAATTTTCTCCTTTTTGAATCTCTTTCCTCGCAGTTTTAAAACGTATTAAAAAAGACATTTTGAACGATGAAAAATGTAAAAAAAAAATCTGGGGATTTTTTTTTTTTTTTAATCTAGGAACGTTATTAACGTCATTTAATTATATCGATTAAAGATACAGATACTTTTTTTTCTTTCTTTCTTTTCATTTTTTCTTTCGTCCAAGAGAGATGGGAATAGGATGTTGATAGAAGGAAAGACCAATGTGAACTTTGAAAAAAAATAAGCGATAGTTAAAGGGAAGAGTCATCAGGGTAACTGTCTTAGTGAGCGAAAAAAAAAGAAAAAGAAAATGAAAAAGACATTTTTGTAAACGAAAACAAAGAACATTAAAAAGAAAAAGAAAAATGATAATAAATGAATGGAGAATAAGTCCGGGAAAATAAGGAACCAAGATATTTTTTATTTCTTTATTTCGGATACAACGATTCCCAGTGTTTTGTCAGTGAATGGACGAATAAGTGAATAAAATAGCAGGTTCTTTGAGGTGTGTTCAAGAATGTTCACTTAGGGTTCTGGCGAGAGAAGATATACCATGTCTTCCCTTCATTCTTTCCTCGAAATTTCAAGGGGAAAAGAAAATGAAAATTACATATTAACGATATGAATTATGATATTAAAGATTGTTGTTCAATTTCATATGTGAACGTTGCATGTCCCTTCACTCACACACGAGTTAACATGATCATTTTCTTCTCTATGTTAAGCCTGTGATAATTCCTGTGACTTTGGCTTCAGCAGCAGGCAAATGTGTTTAAAAAAAAAAAACTTTTCAAAAAAGGAAGAAAAATCCACTTTACGTAAAAAAGTAGATGACCTTAGGAACCTTTTAAGAAAAAAAACAAAACAAAATGAATAAATAGAGTTTAAAAAAGAGACGTAATGATCTATGGTAATAGGAAAACGTAAAATAAAAAAGGAGAGAATTAGTGTTAGAAATTTTTAGATTTTTTAGGCCCTCCCAAAAAAACGTAGTATTTAGAAAATTCCGAAAAAGCAAAAGAGAAACTTAACGAGTAATCTACCCCCCAAAAGAAAGAAAAAAATAAATAAAATAAATACGATAGTTATAACGGTGTAGTGTGGAATAAAAGGATGCTTTTCTCTTTTTTTTCAGAAATTGGATTCATGCTCTTTAAGCCTTAACTCTTCACTGTTGAAATTTTTGTAAATATTCTAGATTGTAAATTTTAGAGTTTTTTCTGCTTTTACATGTGCTTCCTCTATAATTTATTGTGCCAATTTGCTTTTCTTATCCTTTATTTTGTCAAATTTTTCATTATTTTTATTATTTTTATTATTATTATTTATATTATTATTATCTTATTATTATTATTATTACTGCTTATTACTGTTATTATTATTATTACATTATATTATTATTATTATATTATTAGATAATACTGTCACTGTCATCATAATTATAGTTATCACTGTTGTCATTGTTATCATTATTATCAATACTATTATCATTATTATTGTTATTATTATTATAATTATTATTATTGCTATTATTTTTTTTATTATGATTATTATAAACCATTATTATTATTATTATTATTATTTATGTAATAGGAAATAGATTAAAAAATAGTCATTCTTTTCTTTTCATTTTGTTTTAGATAGTAATGCAATGGATGTTTAAATTCTAGGATTCAGAATAGAAAAAAAATCGATTTGATACTCTCTCATTTTAAAACATGTACAAGAAATGCAATAATGTTGCCTTTTATTTGTCTAGGTGAGACGAAAGCACATACACAATCATCATACCGCACATACACACACATACCCACACACACACATACCCACATCCGCATATCCACACACACACACATACCCACATACGCATATCCACACACACACACATACACGCACACATACCCACATCCGCATATCCACACCACATACACACATATCCACATACCACACATACCCACATACGCATACCGAAACACTACACACACACCCCATCCCAACACAGACACACATATTGTAACCACATACACACATATTGCAGCCACATACACACATTTTGCAACCACATACACACATATTGCAGCCACATACACACATATTTCAACCACACACACCCTTAGGTGGAAATGGAAACCGCCTTCATTTCCGACCAGCGCAGTGGAAGTGAGTGCAGAGCCACAGGCTGCCAAGTGTTCTACAACCACAAGCTACACATCGAGACAAGTCACAGAAGCGGAGCCTTGTTCAATGGTCACTTTGAACAGAAAGTAGCTGTCTCTCTTACGTAGTCTTAAGACAAAGCATTTTTACAGTCTTATGTGTCTTCATCATGTCGTTATGTGGAATAAAGATAGTGTTACTCATACTCAGGTAGGTCGATTACATACATGCAGGCACATATGCATACTTCCATACATACATGTATACACATAATAATACATACACATAATACATACACATATTAGCTCGCGCGCGCGCGCGCGCACACACACACACACACACACACACACACACACACACACACACACACACACACACACACACACACACACACACACACACACACACACACACACACACACACACACACACACACACACACACACACACACACACACACATATACACACACACACACACACACACATGTATACACTTTATATGAATGTATGTAAGTAAAATATATGCGCAAGCAAGTATGTATGAGTGCATTTCTCATAGCAGTCTTCGTTTGCAACATTCAAGTATGTGAAATCTGCTACCTTCTCACTTGTCATTTGTGTATACTGTATAAAGAATAGTGTCGCATTTTATATACCCGTGTTAAATAAGTGCTTTCAATGCCGGTCGTTATATATTTTTTCTCTCTCTTCGCATGTGTATATTAGCCGAACCACAGACAGGTTTTACTGCTGAGTTCTGAAGGAAAATAGTGTCGATAGGGAATGGGTTTCCTCTGATATGTATTGATGGTTTTGACTATTTTACTTGTGTTGTAAATAAAAATGCTTATATGTATATCACACACACACACACACACACACACACACACACACACACACACACAACACACACACACATACACATACACACACACACACACATACACACACACACACACACACACACACACACACACACACACACAACACACACACACACACACACACACACACACACACACACACACACACACACACACAGTGTGTGTCAGTATGTATATATGTATGTATGTGTATGTATATACGTGTATATATATATATATATATACATATATATATATTATATATATATATATACGTATGTATGTATATGTTATATATATTTATATATACATATACATATACAATATACATATACATATACATACA